CGCGCCATGCCAGTCCGTGCCAGGCCAGCTGGCGCTGCGCTGCAGGATGCTGCTCCTTGGTGGAGGCACCGGGGCTCCCAGTCGCACACCGTGGGGCTCCCTGTGGGCCGGTGCTGCTGGCAGCAAGGGCTGATGCTTCCCCTGCTGCAGCATCGTTGGGTGTGCCAAGGGCACAAGCCAGTGGGCACTGGGCCATGCCCCGGGATGGTCAAGATGGGCTGGAGCTGAGTGTGGCTGCGAGCCAGCATCGAGCCTCCTCTGCCTCGGGCACATTTTGTTCCCCATCTCATTTTTTTAAAAGCATGGTGCTGGCTGCCAAGCCTTCCGAGGCTTCTGCGTCACTCACACCCACCCCACCAGAGCCCTGGCTGAGCAGGAGGCAGAGCTGGGCAGCCCCCCAGCCCACGGCTGGTCCCCTGCGGTCACACCAGCTGCCAGTGCCACCTTTGGGAGCACTGCTCCTGGTGGGAGCATGTCCTGCTCCCATCTGGGTTTGCTGGGTTGGTCCCAGCCAGGCTGTTGGCACAGCGTGGAACTGACTCTCCTGTGTGCCCACCACCTCTGCCCTTTTTGGAGTGGCAGCCCAGGGATGTGAGTCAGCTTGGTGACACATTTGTGCCTGCGGGGACAGTGATGGAGCTAGCTTGGATCTGCCCCAGCACCAGCCTTGCCCATCCGTGTCCCCATCCCCGTTCTCATTCACAGTTCGGCCTCTTACTCTTCCACACCTTGCCATCCCCTGGGTAACCCCAGTAGCTGTCCCTCCTGCCCGGCCCCAGCACCCTGCAGGGAGATGCAACACAGTCAGGGTGTCCATGTGGCCTCTGCTCTCCAGAGGCGCCTCCATCAGCTGAGGCTGGGGCTCACACGCTTTTGGGCTTGCTGCAGGTTTCTGGAAGGCCACATGCCCCTCGAGCTGCTCCAGCCCGCTCCTGGCCTTCGTCAACTCTAAGAGTGGGGACAACCAGGGCGTCAAGTTCCTACGCAAGTTCAAGCAGTTCCTCAACCCAGCCCAAGTCTTTGACCTCATGAATGGGGGCCCACACCTGGGGTAGGCACTGGGCTGGGCGCCACAGGGTGGCCAGTGGGGTGCTGTGGGCACCTGGCTCAGCTGCAGCCCTGTCTCCTGTCCCTGCACCAGGCTGCGCCTCTTCCAGAAGTTCTCCACCTTCCGGATCCTGGTGTGTGGGGGGGATGGCAGCGTGGGCTGGGTACTCTCCGAGATCGATGCCCTGGGCCTTCACAAGCAAGTGAGCGGGAGTGCCCGGCATGGCTGGCATGAGCCAGTACCAGCCCCGCTGTGGCCAGGAGCCCCCCCGTGCCGTGGGGTGCTGCGAGCGATGGGCACAGCAGCACTGCAGTGTTGCAGGAGCTGCTCTGAATGTGCCGTCCAATCCCTGTCCACAGTGCCAGCTGGGCGTCCTGCCCCTGGGCACCGGCAATGACCTGGCACGGGTGCTGGGCTGGGGCAGCCTGTGTGATGATGACACCCAGCTGCTGCAGATCCTCGAGAAGCTGGAGAGAGCCACCACCAAGATGCTGGACCGGTGAGTGTGGCATGGGGCATGCACTGCTCTGCTCCCGCCCAGCCTTGGCACCTCGTTTGTCCCTGTGCGTGGTGCTGGGAGGTGGTGGGCAGCTGTGGTCTCTGCTTGGCAGGTGGAGTGTGCTGACCTATGAGGTGCCCAAGCAGTCCCCCCCGGCGCTGAAGGAGGAAAATGGGGACTCCAACATCCAGGTGGGCACCACCAGGGAGCAGGGGCTTGAGATGGAAAGGGCAGGTTCCCATTCACCCCATCAGCTGATGGGCGAGCATGCAGGGTGAGATTGCACAGGGAGAGCTGATGCCAGGGGTCCCTGGGGACCACGGCTGAGAGGGCTGGCAGCTGGCTGCATGCGGTAATGACATTAGTCTGGCAGGCCTCAGCCTGGCAATTATGGTGCTTGGGGGAGGGCAGCAGGGTGCGGCAGAGCTGGCCTGAAACCGGCAGGTTGTTCTGGACTCATCCCCATACTCTCCACGCCTTGCCTCAGTTTCTCACCTCCTGCGGCTGAGCATCCCCTCTGCCTGGCAGTGTGGGCATGGCTGAGCAGGGCTGTTCATCCCTGCTCCAGGGCTGGCTGGGCAAGGCTCTGTCCTAGAGCAGGGCACCAGGCTGGGTGTCACAGCTCTGACTGTCCTCCCTTGCCCCACCCCAGGCCCAGATCTCCCACTACGCTGACTCTGTTGCCTTCCACCTGGCCAAGATCCTGGAGTCGGACAAGCACTCGGTGGTGATCTCCTCAGCAAAGTAAGGAGGGGGCTGGCGATGGGGGTGCTGGAGACGCCCACCATGTCCCCAGTGGCACTGAGCCCCACCACCAGAGGCTGATGGTAGTGACAGTGCCCGGCAGATCACCCCGGCACTGCCCCGCTGGTGCAGGGGGGCATTACCCCGGCAGCCTCCCTGGCTGTGCCTGGCCATGCCGTGCCCCTTCCCACCCTCTGGCTGCTTCCCCTGACAGGTTTCTCTGCGGCACCGTCAATGACTTTGTGGCCGAGGTTGGGCGCGCTTACAAGAGGGCAACAGAGAACAAGCAGGAGGCCGAGCTGATGGCGCGGAAGGTGGATTGCAGGGGAGGTGGCTGGAGGGCAGGGGCATGCTGGGGAGCACAGCCCAGGCACTGGAGGGCCTGTCGGGATCTGCTCTGGTGGCCTGTGCCCTTGCTGTGCATGCAGCAGGGTGAGCTGTGCCTGGGGTGCCCAGGCACTCGGGGTTCCCAGTCAGGCATGGAGCACCTGGGCAAAGATGGGATGCCAGCACTCGGGGTGCCCAGGAAGCACCCAGCCCTGGTGGGGAGGAGCAGCTTGTGCCAGGGTACTGAGCTGGTGGCATCCTGCAGTGTGCCATGCTGAATGAGAAGCTGGACTCACTGGTGCGGGAGCTCAGTGAGGAAGCTCAGGCCATCGTGGTCCCTGAGGGAATTGCGCAGGCCACCCCTGCTGACACCAAGGACCAGGAGAAGGGTGGCAGCTTCAACCCCAGCCCTGTGCCTCGCATCTTCAAATCCAAGGAGCAGCTCATGCTGCGGGCGAACAGCCTGAAGAAAGCCCTGCGGCAGATCATCGAGCAGGCGGAGAAAGGTGAGGCGGGGCTGGCAGTTCACGTGGGGCTGTGGAGCCACCCCAGGCTGGTGCTGGACCCCTACCTTGGTTTCCCCATCTGAACTCTTGGGGTGGCAGCAGCGCTGTGCAGTCCAAGGACATCAGCTCTTCTCTGGTGCTTGGCCTGGCTGAGGGAAGTCCCCAGCATGGGGCAGAGCCCACAAGGCTGACCTAGGGAGGGGGCATGGGTCCACAGGGCTCTCCAGAATCACTGTCATGCCCCTTTTCGCATCCAGCTGTGGATGAGCAGAACAAACAGACCCAAGCCTACCAGGGCAGCGTGGGCCCCAGCAAGGACAGTTCAGAGGAGCTCAACAAGGAGGAGGAGAGGCCGAGTAAGATGCCAATAGGACATGTGGCTTTTTGGGTCAGAATGGGGGTGAGCTGTGGAACTGGCTCAGGGTAAAAGCCCGTTCAGCAGCTGCCTTCTCTCCCCCTTGGCCAGGCTCCCGTCAGGAGATGGTGACCTCTGCATCTTCCTCTGTCATCCTGGACCGGCCAGACACCTTCGGCAGCTTGCAGTTCCCTGAAGACCCCAGTGCCCTGTGAGTGTCCCACCAGGGACCCTAGCCCACCCTTGTTCCCCATCGTGGAGTGGGAGCAGAGCTGGGACCACACTGCCCCTTGGAGGTGGCCACTAGGGCATCTTCTGCCCATGAGCGTGGCACCCCTGGTGCCCAGGCCTCCCTGCCCAGTGGTGCCTGTGCCCAGTGCAGGATCTCTTGCTGCCAGCTGCTTGGCCAGCACCATGCTCATGCTGGTTGCTCTGGGCCACCCCTGCCTGGTGCAGGCAGGTCCTGGGTGTGCCATGGGTGTCCCACTGTGGAGACCAGGGGAGGGGGCTCCAACCATCCCTGCTGGCTTCAGTCAGGCTTCCCAGTGCCAGCCCCTCCAGGAGCTCTCACCACAGCTCCGGCAGGTTCATACCCTGTCCCCTGGTGCCAGCCCTCTGGGTGTCCATGTTATGCAGCTGCCTCCCAACCCGCTTACCCCATCTGCTGCTTTCAGCCACTTCTCAGAGAAATGTGTAATGAATAACTACTTTGGCATTGGCCTGGATGCCAAGATCTCCCTGGAGTTCAACAACAAACGGGATGAGCACCCCAAGAAGTGCAGGTTGGCTGAACCCACCCTGGGAAAAACATATTCCCCTGGCTCCTGGGTGCCCACAGCAGGAGGGGCCACCAGGGTGCCAGGAGCCATGGGGCTGGCTCAGGGCTGACATTGCCTGGCTGGGGACCCTTTCCTGCAGCAGGTTTCCCACCTGCACCCAGCCCCTCTCACTGCCCCGCTCACCCTGCAGTAGCCGCACCAAGAACATGATGTGGTACGGGGTGCTGGGCACGAAGGAGCTCCTGCAGCGCACCTATAAGAACCTGGAGCAGCGGGTGCAGCTGGAGGTATGGGTCTGGGGGCACAGGGACCGGGTGGGGAGCAGCAGTGCAGCGGCCCCCCAAGCTCAGCCCTCTCTTGCAGTGCGACGGGGTGCCCATCTCGCTGCCCAGCCTGCAGGGCATCGCTGTGCTCAACATCCCTAGCTATGCAGGGGGCATCAACTTCTGGGGAGGCACCAAGGAGGACAATGTGAGTGCCAGTGCTGCAGAGCTGGGAGAGGGGCACAATGTCCTTCCCATGGACCCAGCAAACCTTGGAGCCCTCAGGCAGGGGACTCGGATGTCCCTGCCTTGGGCACACACAGGGGGAAAAGCTGGGTCCCAAGATGAGCCCAATCTGGGAGTCTCACTTTTACTGGTCCTCTGCAGAACTTTGGGGCTCCATCCTTTGATGACAAGAAGCTGGAGGTGGTGGCTGTCTTTGGCAGCATCCAGATGGCCGTGTCGCGGGTCATCAACCTCCAGCACCATCGCATTGCGCAGGTAGGGGCGAAGGGCCCGGTGGGACCCCGCGTGGTGCCGGACAACTTTTGGGGCACCAGCTGAGCCCCTGGCTGGCACTGGTGCCGCACGGGGAGGCTTTGCAACAGTTGAAGCCGGTGGTGCAGTGCCGGCCGTGCTGCCAACCCCAGGCTGTCTGCCCCACAGTGCCGTGTGGTGAAGATCACCATTCGGGGGGATGAGGGCGTCCCTGTGCAGGTGGATGGAGAAGCCTGGGTCCAGCCGCCCGGCATCATCAAGATCCAGCACAAGAACCGAGCGCAGATGCTGACACGGGACCGGGTGAGCACAGCTCAGAGTTACACAGCCCATGCAGTTGGGGCTGCGCTGGGGCAGAGGAGGTGCGACAGGCTGAGTGAGGGGCCATCTCCACCCCTCACAGGCATTTGAAAGCACTCTCAAGTCCTGGGAGGACAAGCAGAAGGGGGAGAGCTACCGGGCAGCTGCACGGCCGCGGCTCAGG